GTCCAAAGGGGACAAGCTGGAGGAAATTGGGTGTGCCTTGTCCTTTTTCTCCTTCTTCATGCCCTCCACGTCTCACTGTGGTGTTGGCATTTTTCTGTGGGTTCAGGCTGGGGACACACTGTCCAACGTAGGTGACCGATATTGGCACATTCTTGTAAATGCAGCCCAGGGAGTTTCTGGTATTTAATGTTTGTCACATCCCACTGAGGGCAGAGCCCCACACGCTGCCCTGCAGGACAGAGCTGGGCAGGGCAGCAGAACATGTGAGAGATAAACAGAATAAACAACCTGGAAACCAGCACAGACCAATTATGGCTTCTGCTTTGGCAGCAGGGCTGACAGACAGAGACTTTCTACAATCTCGGAATCATCAATAACTCAGATTTGGACACCACCCAAAGCTTCCCAAAGCATTTAAAAACAAAACAAAGCAAAACACAAAAAAAAGAGTTGGAATAAGCAGGAAAAGCAATGCCACCTCCTCCTGGAGTCAGGGGAGGGAGCTGAGCAAAGCCACAAGCAGCGATTCCCAAAAATTCTTGACAGCACAAAGAGCTGCCCACAGGATGTGGAAGGGGCTGGAGGGTTTGGTGGGCAAGAACTGCGGAGCCTGCAGAAATGTGCCATGGCTTTTGGACATGATTTCTGGGAAAATCATCCCTTTTTTTTCATCCATTGTGTGCAGGATCCAGCCCTTGAGGCCACCCAGGGCTGGGGAGCTCTGTGGGGGAAGGTTTGGAACAGGGCAGGGATAAATAAATAAATCCCTTTGCAAGCCCGGCCCTGTGTGCTGGGCAGCGCCATCCTTTAAATGAAACTTCAACTTTTAACCATGAAAATTATTCAAACCTTATCTACTTATTAAAAATCTCATTGATTTGGACTTTCCTTGCAAGGTCTCACCTACGCAAATACAACTTCAGGGAATGTTTGGAATAATGAAACCTAGAAGGGACCTGCATCTGTTTCTGGCTCCTTTTTCTCTCCTGTGCCATAAATTCCTGCACATTTCTACACCTAAATCTCCATTTTCTGCAGCAAGACCCTACTCAAACTGTGGAAAATGTGAGATTTGTTCATGTTGAAGTCTTTTGGGGTTTTTCTGTGGGTAATTTCTACACCTGGCTCTTATGTTGGGTTGCTGTAATAGGCTGCTTTATCTTCCTTTCAACATAGGAAATAAAGTGACACTCCCGTCTAGAGAACCTGCAAAATTTAAACTCCTGTGGGAGTTTTCAGGCATTGATAAATCAGGGGGTTGTAAATAAGATTTTTTTTTCCTAATAATAATGTTATGGAACAGTTTGCACTGTGTGTGAGTTTGGTTATTGTTTCAGTGATGAGTCAGCTCCAAATTATTTCTAATTCTTTGAAAAAATACAGGGTGCTGTAGGAATTTGTCACTGGATGAGACATCCATTCCACTGGATGTATCCCTGTTTTTTCTCCCTGTTTAGATGATGAGTCTGTAAGCACAGGGCTCCTCCTCAAATCCACAGAGAATTCCTGGGAGCAGCAAGAATCCCTCTAAAGTGTAAGCTCTGCTAAACCCAGCCTGTCTAAGCCAGAAAGGAACGAAAACTCTGCCATAATCTCACAGAAAATTTCGAATTTTACACAAAAAACCTTGAGCAGGATTAAATTTAAAAACTCAAAGCACCTGCGAGGTTGTGCATGAACCCTCAGAGCTCCACAGGGCTTGGAAAACGTCGCAAATGTCGCGTGAATGTCCCTGTTGTGGTGCCTAAATTAAGATTATTGATCAGTGATGTGGCGCTAATGAGGGCAGCCCGGGCTCCAGGGAAAAGCTGGGCTCGTCCTGGGCAGGAATTCTAATTCTATTTGGCAGCTGGAGCTTTGGGAGCAGCGAATCCAGTGATAAACTGGATTATTTTTCCCTTTAAAGAAAGCAGCTAATGTGGCTGGGAGGGAGCTTTCACTGGAGGTGAGCTGAAGCTTTGGCAAGGCTCCACCTGTCCTAAAATTCTGGGTATTTCATGTAGTGGATGAGAATTCTTGATAAAGTGGTTGGGGAGGAGAAATTAAATCTCCAAATCTCAGCAGCTGAGGGATGCTCATGGTAACTCAGAGGCAGATCTAAGAATGGGAGCAGGAATAGAAGGAATTTTCTAAAATTGGTCCTGAAGAAGTGGAAAAAATGAGGGAGAGTCATGTTTGATGTCAATTTTCTGTCTGTTTTTCACTTGAAAGTTCAGTATCCACTGTTTAAAAAGTATATTCTAGTATATAATAGTACTAAAAATATAGGAATAAATCCAGCCTGAGTAACTGGAACCTCTTGTGCTCCTGCTGTGTCCTCCCAGGATTTTGTGTTCAGTCACACTGGGACTTCCCAGTGCTCTGAACTTCCCCAATTTTCAGCAACTTTCGCAATATTTGGCCCAGGAAACAAAATATTTCCTCCACTTCATTTCACAGGGAAAAAAGAAACAACAAAACAAACAACAATTTTAGGGTTTTGTCTTGAACACCAAAACTGCAGAACAACTCAAGTGCCCTGCAAAGACTGGCACCCCAAAGGCAAAGGGCATCGATGCCCCATGGGAATTTGGCTGGGGAATTTTTGATTTTGACCCCTGACCCGGGAATTTCCCTTTCTCTGCTCTCCTGGGGCGGTTTTAAGTGAGTTTGAATTTTCCATGCTGAATCCACGTTTAGGAGTGGGAGATGGGCAAAGGCAAGAGGTGCTGGTGGATTTGTGCCCGGTTCCATGTGGGTGCAGGATAAAGCTGGAG